TCACATCAATAAATATTCTCCTGGGGTACCTGGGTGGCTCAGTCAGTTAAGCGCCTGCCTTTGGCTCAGCCTGCCTTTGGCTCAGCCTGCCTTTGGCTCAGGTCACGATCTCAGGGCCCTGGGATCAAGTCCCAAATTGGCTCCCTGATCAGTGGGGAGTCCGCTACTCCCTCTCCTCCCTGCTTGTACTCTCTGGCTATCTCTATCTCTCTCTCTCAAATAAATAAATAAATAAATATTCTCCTAAAATCTATTAGCTCGTATTCCTGTGTTTGTCTTTTCCTAGTGAGTTACTGCCTGGGATCTTCAATCTCAACACAGGCCTATAGATATAGGAAGAATAAAATGGGTGAAATCACCAAGATCTGAGAGATCCTTAAGTGAGCTTTTTTTAACTCCTGCCACACACTTGCATGACAATTGTATCATTTATCCCCTTTTCATGAAAATGAAATGCAGAAAAGTTAATGCAACAGCAGTTTCTTTCTTCCTTCCTTTTTTTCTTTCTTTTTTTTTTTTTTTTTGCTGTGCCTTGTTCTGTGCTAATTTTTTTTTTTATCTTTTCTTGGCAAAGTTCTTTTTTTTGTATATTTTTTTTATTGGAGTTCGATTTGCCAACATTTCTTTCTTTCCTTTTTTTTTTTTTTTGAGAGAAAGTTCAAGCAGGAGCAGGGGGAGGGGCAGAGAGGGAGAAGATAATCTTAAGTAGGCTTCACTCCAAGCATGGAGCTCAACAGGGGACTCAGTCCCACAACCCTGAGATCATGACTTGAGCCAAAATCAAGAGTCAGACGCTCAATGAACTGAGCCACCTAGACACCCCCACAGCATGTAGTTTCTAGAAATAGTATCAATTCTTTAAAAAATTAATTTCTCTTATTAAATATTTTTAGGCAAGACTATACAAAGACAAAACCTTATTAGATTTTTAAAACTATCATTCTGAGAAAAACCTTTGAAACCTACATTCTTCCAAATAAGTTTACGCAAGTGTATTTTTTAAAGTTTTTATTTAAACTCTAGTTAGTTAACATATATGGTAAAATTGGTTTCAGGTGTAGAATTTGGTGATTCACATGATGTAAGTGTATTTTTAAATTAAAAACATAACTGTCACATTAAAAAAGACAGTCACAATGTGTAAAGGAGGGAGTATAGAAAAAGAATCAACCATGATTCCATCACCTAAAAAACAACTAATATTATTGTTTGAATGTTTCTGTCTGAGATTAAAAATAACTGGGCCAGCGGGTATAAATACTTTTTATGACTCTTGGTAGATACTGCCAAAATCCTCTCCAAAAATGCTGCATTAATTTAAATGTCACCAGCAATATATGAAAGTACAAATTTCACTAACCTTTTGCCAATTTTAGATGGTACATCATTGTTAATTCTAATTTGCATTTTTATTGATACTAAGGCTAAAGATGTTTCTACATGGTCATTTATTCAATTAGTTTCTTATCTGTTTCTGTCCGTTGCAAGGTCACTTACTGGGACATTAATGATCTTCTTATGATTTGTGATAATTACTTAATTTATACGCTAATTATTTTTATTTGTTATAAATTTATTAACTTCATAAGAGAATCATTCTTGGCCTATCACATTCATTGCAAAATATTATTTCTTCTTTTTTTAAATTAAAATAATTTTTATTTAGTCAAATGTTAATTTTCCATGGTGATTTTTCTTATGTATCCAACTTTAAGAAGCCAGAGATGTGCCAAAACAATCACAAAATAAATGCAAATCAGGCACTGAAGTCACTTGGCTATATCTGGTTATATATTTGCCACCAGAAGATTATCACCAAAAAGAAAATACAAATTAAAATTTATTTATTTATTTATTTATTTATTTATTTATTTTAGAGAGCAAGAGGGAGAGACAGAGAGAAAGTGAGAGACAGAGAGAAACTGAGTGGGGAGTGGGAGGCAGAGGAAGAGAGAGAGAGAGAGGGAGGAGAGGAGCAGAGGGAGAGTGAGTGAATCTCCAGCAGACACTCTGTTGATGGAGGAGCCCAATTTGAGACTTGATCTCAAGACCATGAGATCATGACCAGAGCCAAAACCCAGAGTTAGACACTCAACAGACTAAGCCACCTAGGCACTCCTGATTTTTTAAACTCTCAAGGAGAATGCGTCTCCTCCTTATACTCACCCTGAAACACAATAGTTTCTGAGTCATATCTGTGTCACAGAAATGGTTTTTAACTTGTTGAGTTTCCTCTCTCCACCTGGGAGACAGAGTTGGGGTTTCCTGTTACTCCACCAATTTATTTAGAGGAACTGACATTTCTCTTGTTTTTATTTTTGCTTTTAATATTGCTTTTAATCCCCAAATCATCTCAGTTATACCTCATAACTAGAGCATAATATGCAACACCTCTTGACCTTCTTTACTATTCTTATTTATATTTGGTCATCTTATGTTCCTTTTTCTCCCCATTTTCTACTCCAATCAATTAAACAATATAATAAATTCTATAATGTATTTCTATTATCAGCTCAATCAGAAATATAATATAACAGAGATTGGAAGAAATAGAAGAGAAAGTTTCTGCTTCCTTGTAGACTGCACTCCACCCTGGATAAAAACAGCTCTACATGATATTTTACAATACAAGAACTGATTTAAGTGTACAGAATAATGAGATGATTAATGCTGTAATTTCAGAGAAGGAAGAACTGGGTGTGGGCCAAAAAGGTCCTGTGACATTGTAGGGAAGTGGAGGAGCAGGAAGCAAGTCTTGAAGGATGGGTGTGATTTGCATAGACAGAATAGAGCAAAACGCAGATAATGCAAATAACAAAGAAGGACCAATTTGCGAACTTTAAACCATCACTATGAAAGTAACTCAGGTATATTTACAAACGTTTTAAAATTAAAACAGCGACAACAACATAACAGCCATAAGGTTACATACATGTCAGATCAGAATTCCTTTTCATGGAATTCAACTGAGCCCCTAATTGCTATCACTTAGGAGAGGGATTAAAATTCAGTAATCATTACAAGATTATTAGTTTTTGATGTAGTAGCCACTTAATAAGGAATTGAAAATATAATAATGAAAAAATTATTCAGGTGTTCAGAATAAAAAGGTTCAAATATTGTCTTTAGAAAAAAAATTTCTTAACTTAGTAATTAAGCTAATTAACATTTTTCCAGATGTTTAAGGAAACAAGGCAAGCAAATTAAACAAATAAGTAAAAATTAATAACCACCTTGAATGTTCCAAGAATTAGCAGGAATACAGTTTTAGAAAAGATGAAAATAAAACTTTTTTTATTAGGTAAATAAGATGCAGATCCAAATCCAAACCTCTTAGGCTGCTCTGGATGTCCTGGTCCTTGTCCAAGCCGAGTTCTCACCCCATCTCCTACAGCTGGAACCTTCCCCTCTACATTCCTGCTGAACCGTCTTTTTCTGTCATTTTTGTTCCTTCAACACTCTCAACTTGCTCTCATCTCAGATCCTTGCACTCACTGTTCCGCTAGCCTGGAATACTATTCCTCTAAGAGACTTCAAGGCTGGCTCATTCTGAGTTTTCAAGATTCTCAGCAAAAGGTTCTCCTGCTCGGAGGGCTTCCCTGACCACCTGTCAATGATGGTAATCCCCCTTCCACCTCCACCCAACAAGGCCTCTGTACATACTTTCTTCCTCTTTCATTAGTCACTCTCCGAAATTATTTTGTGGTTTTTTTTTTTAATTAATAGGCTGGCTGCTCACCAAAATGTAGCATATGTTCTATTAGCCATTTGTATGTTTTCTTTGGAGAAATGTCTGTTCATGTCTGTGTCCATTTCTTGTCTGGATTTTTTTGGTTTTTGGGTGTTGAGTTTGATAAATTCTTTGACAAGTTTCTATGACCCAGCAACTGCCCTAACTAGGTATTTACCCAAAGGATACAAACACAGTGAGTGATTCAAGGGGGCACCTGCACCCCAATGTTTATAGCAGCAATGTCCCAATAGCCAGAATATGGAAAGAGCTCAGATGTTCTTTGACAGATGAATGGATAAAGAAGACGTGGTATGTATATACAATGGAATATCAGTCATCAAAAAGAATGAAATCTTGCCATTTGCAATGATATGGATGGAACTAGAGAGTATTATGCTAAGCAAAATAAGTCATTCAGAGAAAGACAAATACAAATGATTTCACGCATATGTGGAATATAAGAAACAAAACAGATGCATATAGGAGAAAGGAAGGAAAAATAAAATAACATAAAAATAGAGAGAGGGGCAAACCATAAGAGACTCAACTCTAGGAAACAAGCTGAGGGTTGCTGGAGGGAAGACTGGTGGGGGTATGGGGTAATTGGGTGATGGGCATTAAGGAGGGCACGTGATGGAATGAGCACTGGGTGTTATATGCAACTGATGAATCACTAAATTCTACCCCTGAAATTAATAATACACTATATATGGTAACTAAGTTTAAATTAGAAAAAAATTTTTAAATGATTGTTAAAAAATGTAGTATATGCTCTGTGTGAAAAGGTACGTTGTCAGTCGGCTTATTGCTCTGCCCAGAGTCGGGACATGGTAGGTACCAAAAACTATTTCTTAAATAAATAAGCAACTCAGACTTATGCTCCGACAGGAACAGAAGGACTCAAGAATTACAATAAAAGTTTCAATTAAACATGCAAATTAACAAACTACTGTAATAGACTTCAGTGAAGAGCTCAAATCCTATTTCTGGATTTTACTAAAACAGATTTTATTTCAAATGATTCATATATATTGATAATAATATTCTTAGTAACATTTTCATTGTGAAGTGATTTTATCATATATCTTTTTAAGATTTCATCTTTAAGTCTCTACACCCAATGTGGGGTTCAAACTTATAGCCTCAAGATCAAGAGTTGCATACTCCACCGACTAAGCCAGCCAGGTACCCCTATAATGAAATTCTTACAAAAGAGATTATAAATGCATTTAAAAATTCAATGGCATCATCAAAATGAAAGACTAACCTGCTGTTCATATCGTTGTTTGACATCCTCCAGCTGCCATAAAAACTCCTTTGATTGCTTCTCACGAAGAGACTTGGATCTAGTTAGATCGGCCTCCACTTTTTCCATCTATAAAATTTAAAAATCAAATATTATATTTTTTAAACAAAAAATTTATTCCATGTTTGTGTAGTTTTGACCATTCATTAAAATGGCAGATTTTAAACACCCCCTATGGATCATAATGGTGAATTTTAAGATGATAAGATAATGAAAGCTGTCAATTTATTTACATATCTTTAATAGTTTGTCAGGAAAATTAACACTGGAATATAATTGACTACATTCTGATGCTATAAAAATGGAACTGTAATGGAAATATAACTTTGAATATTCAAATATTTTTTCTACAAGAATTTTTAAGGCCTTGGCATGTGCTGAATGGGAGAAAATATTTGTAAGCCATGTATCTGATAAGGGACTTGTATCAAGAATACATAAAGAATGCTTACAGCCCACTAAGAAATGGGCAATTATACTCTATATTAAAATGGGTAAAGGAACTGAAAAGATATTTCTCCAAAGAAGATATACAAATGGCCAAAAAGCATATGAGAAGATGATCAACATCACTGCCATTAGGCAATTTCAAATTGAAACAATAATGACATATCACTTCACGCCCCATAGGATGGCTTCAATCAAGACGGATAACATCAAGTATTGGTGAAGATGTGGAGAAATCAGAACCCTCAAACCCTGCTGCTGGGAATGTAAAATGGAAGACAGTTTGGCAGTTTCTCAAAAGGATAAACATGGTTACCATATGTGCCAGGAATTCCACTCCTGGGTGAGAAATTAAAACATCCACACAAAAACTTACACAAATGTTTGTAGCAGCATTATTCATAATAGCCAAAAAGAGTATGAAATAACCCAGATGTTCACCAATGGATAATGGATAAACAAAACAAGGTCCATACATAGGAGCATCACTGAACCATAAGAAGGAATGAAATACTAATATGAGTTATAATATGGGGAACCTTGAAAGCACTGTGCTAAGTGAAAGGAGGCAGTCACACACAAGACTATGTATTATGATTCCATCTAATATTAAATGTGACGTAGAAGGCAAATCCATAGAAACAGCAAGTAGACTAGTGGTTGCCTAGAGTGAGAGGGAGTTGAGGGTGAGCACTGACTGCTAAAGGGTGTCAGATTTCTTTTGGAGGCAATGGAAATTTAAAACTGATTGTCCTGGGGCGCTTGGGTGGTGCAGTTGGTTAAGCGACCTACTCTTGGTTTTAGCTTGGGCTGTGATCTTCAGGTCATGAGACTGAGACAGGAGATGGGCTCCGCGCTCTGCGTGGAGTCTGCTTCAGATTCTCACTCTCTCCCTCTCCCTCCGCACCTGCCTCTCCCTCTGCCCCTCCTGCTCATGCTCTCTCTCTCTAAAATAGACAAATCTTTTTAAAAAATCTATTATGCTGATGGATACACAATTGTTAAGTATATTAAAAATGATTAAATTGTTACACTTATAATGAATTTAACTCCTGGTATGTGATTTATATCCTTTTTTAAATTTTTATTTATTTGTGATAGTCACAGAGAGAGAGAGAGAGAGAGAGAGGCAGAGACACAGGCAGAGGGAGAAGCAGGCTCCATGCACCGGGAGCCCGACATGGGATTCGATCCCAGGTCTCCAGGATCGTGCCCTGGGCCAAAAGCAGGCGCTAAACTGCTGTGCCACCCAGGGATCCCTATATCCTTTTTTTTTTATTTTTATTTTTTAAGGAGGCTCCATGCCCAGCATGGGGCTTGATTTCATAACCCTGAGATCAAGACCTGAGCTGAGATGGAGTTGGACATTTAACTGACTAAGCCACCTGGGCACCCCATATGTGAATTATATCTTAATAAAGCTGTTATCATAAAAAAATTAAAAGTCAAACACTATGCCATATCCCACAAGGCTTCATCCAATCCCAAGTACCACTCTCAACTCATCTCTGCTACTCTATACCATCACCACCACCATTCCAGCCCATCTGCCTCTTTGCATGCCAGAGACATGCCAGAGATCCTCTGGAAGCTTCTCCTCAGAGAGTCACATGGCTTTTTTCTCAAAGTCTTAAGTTTCTGCTTAAAGGTCATCTTTGTGAAGCCTCCTGACCACCCTATTTAAATTACAGCCCTCCTCCTGCCCCAGTCCTCTAAGTCTCCCTTTTTACCATAGGGCATATCACCTTCAAGTATATAATACAATTTACTTACTCCTTAGGGCTCATTTTAATATCTGCCTCACCCATGGTAATGTAACCCGACGTTCACTCACGTATCCAAACAATTTAGCACACTGCCTGGCACCTATAGGGACCCAATAATCAAATGAAGGAGAAAAAAGACAAACCAAGTGTATATACCTAGGTTTGAGATTTGCTGAATAAACAATTTTCAACATTTAAGAGCTGCAGATTCTTAATAACATATACAAGATCATGTTGAATCTGACACTTTCTATCACATACAAAATTAGAGATAATGTATGATTATCTTGCTCTTGCCAGATGCTCATTTATATGTGGCAAGAAAGAAATGTTCTTATATATAGTAATGAAAAATCGCTCCATGTAAATAACATGAAAATGGCACTTTCCTAGTGCAGTTTTTCATTTGTCTTTCTTCCTCTGGCTTGACTATGTCTCAGAAGTTTGTGTTGTTGTTTTTTTTTCTGAAACAATTGTCAGTTAATATGACAATTGTCCTACCAGTAGCTACTCTATATTTATTATTCTGCTTCACTGATTGGTTGAGATGTTTCTTTTATTAGTTGTACACCATGCTCTATTCCAGGTTACCCTTTGGCAACTGCTAGGATTAGACACAATATGAATATCAGAGGAAATGAATCCTAAAAATGTTCCTTCAGTTTCTCATCTTAAATTTAAAAAAAAATCATTCAAATGCATTTTTTCAGACATGATTAAACCTTAAGGCTCCAGGAGCAAAGATGTTAGGTGAAGAGTAGCCAGTTGCATTAGATGAGAAAAAAATGCATATAGCCACTCACTACCGCTGTCCAACAGTACATCTTGCTTCCTGCTTCTCACAGCAAGGTCTGGGGTATCTAAATTATGGCATGAGATTTAGCCTAAGTATTTCTTCATAAAATCCAAAGAGTGCAACCCTAATAACACTAAGTCATCTGCTTCCAAATTCAACAGAGTTGTAAGAGTATTGATCCACAGGTAGTCAGTAGTGGCCGAGAATACATTTACTAAGGAATTACTGAAGGACCCATACTCAAGCCCACTTTGTTGCCTTCTGTTTCTAACTCAAGACATGGGTTTCCAGTCTCTCTCTACTTCAGTGCTCTTCACATCAGACCTCCAGCAGAAGGCAGTTTGTGCTCCCTATACTCCAAGATCCTTGGCATTTCCAACATTAGCCATGTCTCAATTCAAAAAGAGCCTTTTGCTCTTTGTGCTATCTGAAAAGCCCCTTTGAGTTTTTCCCCTCATCCAAAGTGATGGTCTTCAAGGATGACTCATCTACTCTCCTCTCTCTGAGGTGCTTGTTTTTTTTTTTTAAGATTTTATTTTTATTTATTCATGAGAGACACAGAGAGAGAGGCAGAGACAGGCAGAGGGTGAAGCAGGCTCCCTGCAGAGAGCATGATGTGGGACTCAATCCCAGGACCCCAGGACAACAATCTGAGCCAAAGGCAGACACTCAACCACTGAGCCACCTAGGTGTCCTCTGAGGTGTTTTTTAATCCCACCAACTTACATAAGTGCCTTCCTTCTCTCTACATTCAAGGACTTAACATCTATTTCCATAACACACTGTGTTTTTCTCTATAATATGGAAGTGTTTCAAACATGTGAGCTTTGTTTATTCATCTAGATCATGAGCTACTGAATAAAAGGAACTATGATTTATAATTCTTTTGTATCTTAATTATGAACTAATTGGTATAGTATGCAGAATAAATATGCATTAAATCCTTAAGGATGAATAAAATAATTGGCAAAAGCAAAAGGAGATGAAAAAAAGAAAAGTTGTATCAAGGAGAGAAGATCTGGTTTATTTAGTACTTTCAAGACAGAGCTTCATATGAAGTTGATTTTAGGTTCTTATTTTATCTCGGTACAGATTGTATATTAAAAGTAAATAAGTATTTAAGTAGTTAAAATACTTAGAACTTAAAATAAAAACTAAGGCCTTTATGTACTCTATGTGTGTAAAAATTCAGTACCTTCAAGAAAAAACAGAATCATCTTCTATAACCAAAATGGATAACAATTTAAAACACATGAAAAGACCTTTTATACCTAAACATTAAGACAAATTCATAGTAAATAACTGATACAAGAAAAGGAAATGCATGTCATATTAGATGATACTGACCGAAAATGCAAGGCCCCACTCCATTTTCCTTCAACAATGTAACAAAAAAAATTTAAAGTCTTGTAAAAGACTTTGTATAAAAACAGTGTTCTCAGTTGCCATAGATACAAAAGATCCTGCTTCCTCATACATCATTCCACATTCCGTTCGACTTCAACGGTTAGGAAATTAACAACAACACTCCTTTACGGTGTAACTCTAGCTTCAAGAAAACCTAGGAGTAAAGCTTGGTGGGCAAATTAAGAGCAAAAAGGAGTTGGGTGTATTTCTGCGAATGTTTAGTGTTTAAAGAAGGAAGGGGAGGGTAGTGTTTTCCTCCTCTGTGCCTCAGGCATTGGGTCCTTCAGCTACATGGAAAAGAAAACCCAAGAGACCATGCATGCGTAAATAACATGGGCTCTTTATGTTTTCCTTGTGCCACAAGTTCAAAAATAGGCTGCCACACTGGCAGTTCAAAGATGTCAGGGTTAGGTCTCTGCAACTCAACCTTCCTATAATAGTTGCAAAATGGCTTCTGCAGCTCTGAACATGAAGTGAAGGGCAAAGGGTCCGTATTAGCTGAGCTGAATACCCTTTTAGGGAGCTTTCCTGCAAGTTCCTGTCAATAACAGATTAATTATGCTGTTTGCCATCTCATTCACTAGAACTACATTAAAAAGTAAGCTCCATCTGCAAGGTGAGAAACTGCAGTTTTAAAACTGTGTCTAATGTTG